CTCTTGGCTTGACTGGTGGTCAGAGCTTGTTACCAAGCAGAGAACTGCCCATGGCAAATCTACAGAGACAGAAAATTGATTAGTGATTGTCAGGGGCTTGGGGAGGAGAAGATGGAGCGAATGGGTTTTTTTTTTTTTTTTTTAGGGGGAATAAAGATGTTCTAAAATTAGAGAGCAACTAATTGTGAGGGATGCACAACTGTCTGAATAGACTAAAAACCATTGAATTGTCCACTTTTAAAGGACAAATTTTATGTCATGTAAATTACATTTCTGTAAAACTGTTATTAAAAAATCAGGTTCCAGTGCAGTAGCCCAGGAGGGTGTGAGGCAGGTGCCACAGTTCCCTTGGCCTGCCGTAGACCTGGCTGCCTGCTGTGGTGCCTCTTGCAGAGCCAAACACTCTCCCTGGGCTTCCAGGAGGCAGCAGGCACACCTCCACCAGCGTGACACCAGGGCACGAGTGCCTCCCCCCAGGGCTTGCTTGCCCATCTGTTACACGCCCATTTCATAAGCAGGCTCCGTATGGTTGGAGGGGCCTGCAGCAGAGTGCAAGCAGCAGGAAACAGGCGTTCATTGCCAACTCCGCAGCCTGGGGACTTCCCAAGAGCAACTGTTGGCTTAACTGATGGTCACAGCCTGTTGTCAAGCAGGGAAGTGCCCATGGCCCCATTTCCTGTGGCTTCACCCCCGTGTACTATCTGCTGGCCTTTAACCATGTGAGGATAAGCGTCACCTGCCTCCTGAGTGACAGGTGCAACCCTGGGCAGTGGTGCTAGGCATTCATGAAACCTGCCTGTTCCCTCAGGGGACGCTGTGACGACCAAGCATGCATGAAGGATTGCACGTGCCAGAGAATGCAGACGTAGGGGTCGCTGACAGCCAACGAGGGAAAATACACGTGCAGGAGTTGGCCGGCACATGGCAGGCTCACCTCCTCAGTGCTCCCAAACTTGGTCATGGGCTCACATAAGGACCTTTTCTTCCCATTACCTAAACACATGCAGAGTTGGGTCCAGGCCTCTACCTGATTCCTGTGGTGCCAGGCAGGGCTGAACCCTTGCTGTGGTTGGGTGACCATGCTGGCACCTTCCTCGGCTGGAGGAAGGGTCCGGTGTTGGAGCGTGTGTTTGACTTGGGTCCTGCAACCTCTCTGAGCCCCAAAGGGAGACAGACACAGCCACCTGGCAGGGCTGTGGTTAGGAGACAGCAAACACATACTCTGGGCCAAACACATGGATGGTAATCATACAAGGAGTCCTGGTAGTTATTCCTAGACCAGAGTTTCCATAAAACTAATTCATTATTCTTCTCATCGTTTACTCTCAAGTTCTCTCTTCTCTGCCCTCAGACCAAGCTCAGTTTGTTAACAAAATCACAGAAAGCTTCCCTGCACCAGGGCTCCAAGGGACTGCTCCCTCCACTGAACCTTGACGTCTTTCACACTGGTGCTCCTGGCTGGGCAGTGCCTGGGACCCTTGGGGGCTTCCTTTCTTCCCTCACACCAGCCCTTTCCTTTCTGTTGCTGTTTGACCCTTGATCATTCACCCCTGGACTGTGACCCTTCCTGTAGCAGTGGGTGGCAGTGACCAGCCTTTATTGATCAAGTTGTGCTGTGCTCAGAGAGATCGAGGGACCTGTGTAGAAGGGCAGATAGCAACTTACGGGATTATTTTCTACATCCTCTTCCCTGTAACCCTGACCCCAAATTCCTATCATTGCTGTCATTACCCAGCTGCCTGAGGATGGCAGGAATTGGGGGAGACATCTTAGGATAGCTTGGGACTCCCAGAAGTTCAGAGAGGCCTGTTCTCATCTTATTGATGGGAGAAAAAGATGTATAAGCAAAGTGCCAGGAATTCCCCCTGAGGATTGGGCTGGGGTCCTCTAGTTGTGCCTCTGCTGGGTGTACTTAAGGAACTCAGGTGTTGTGACTCATTTACAGGACAGAGGATGAACACAGAACACAAAACACAAAGGCAGAACACAAAGAAAAACATGGACACACATACAGATGGTTGACTCGAGTAATAATACACCAGGTCAGTTTTATTTTTATACTCTAAAAGATTAAAGTTAGTTCCTTGTAGGTAACCACCCAGGCATGGCAGGGATAGCCATGAATTCTGGAATGTGTAGCCTTAGGGAAGCAGATGTCCCCTGACTCAGAATTTCAAGGTGGTTGCTCTAGGCACTAGGCATAGATAAAGGACCGAGATTAGCAAGGATGGGCAAGGTGAGCCACAGGGAGCATTTCTCATCCCCAGCTTTTCTTAGGGTGACCCCCTAAGATCTTCGGCTGACCCCCGGCAGCTGTGCATGGCTTAGGTCGCCCCTCCCATGAAGGGTCTTACCCATGTTTATCGTGTGGCCTCCAGACCCCAAATACTGTGGGGCAGGGTAGCTCAGCTTGCTCACTTGCAGCTCAGGTCCTTTGTTATGCCTCTAGGCAACAGCCTTGTTTATCACAAGGACCTTGTCCGGAAAAGATTACTTTCAAACACTGTGGGCAGAACACGTACATTACTCACTAACTTTAATTCTTAAACTAGGAAAATATATGTCAGTCCCCTACACTCAGGTTTGGTTTCTCAAATATCATCCATCCATCCATCCCTCTATTCATCCATCCCTCCATCCCTCCATCCATCCCTCTATTCATCCATCCTTCCATCCCTCCATCCATCCCTCTATTCACCCATCCCTCTATCTCTCTATTCATCCATCCCTCCATCCATCCCTCTATTCACCCATCCCTCCATCCCTCTATTCATCCATCCCTCCATCTATCCCTCTCTTCATCTATCCCTCCATCCCTCTATTCATCCATCCCTCCATCCATCCACCCCTCTATTCATCCATCCCTCCATCCATCCCTCTATTCATCCCTCCATCCATCCCTCTATTCAATCCATCCATACATCCCTCTATTCATCCATCCCTCCATCCATTTATCCATCCATACATACATATATTCATCCATTTATCCATCCATCCACCTATCCATCCACCTGTCCCTCCATCTATCCATCCAAGGGAAGCCCCTTAGAGACTGTGACCAGAGTCCAGGGGACAACACAAGAGTCTTGAAGCTCAGTGGTGCTGGGAAGTCCCCAGCAAGAAAAGTAGAGCGATAAATGTTTGAGAGGGAGAATTGCTAAACAGATACTACTTGTCTAGGTGTGAAGACTTGGACAAGCTGGGGGTGTCCAGAATGACTTGTGAGAGTGGGGAGATGGGAACAGTGGGGAGATAAGCTTTGAGTGAAGACACTGAGCTCAGGTTGGGATGCAGTGAATGTGGAGGACCCTGTGGGCTAGCCTTGTGACCAGAGGTCTTGAATACTATGGCAAGCTGGGTGTGGCCTCGGGGGTAATAGAGAATTACTTAGTAAGGCATTGGGCAGGAATTCATGAGACTCCTGAATGAGACCTTGCTAAATGGACATGTAACTGTGTGCTCTCTCCTACCAGTTTGTAAATGTGGTCCCCCAACTGCTCTTTTCAGATTGCTTTGAAATAAAGCTTACTTTTCTACAAAAAAAAATAAAGAGAGAGAACTACTTAGTTTTTGATCCAGGGAAGCAACACAGAGTCCTTGGAATTTAAGGAAGATCACATTGGATGGGGTATAAAGGAGAGAGGTCAAACACTTAGTAGGTGCTTGTCCAGATGGGGGTGGTGGACACCCAGGCTGGAGAAGGGAGGGGTGAGGCAGCTAAGTGTGACCTCTAAGGAAGATTTTAACAGGACTCATGAGCACCTTTTGACAAATAAAAAGTACTCTTTAACTCATCTGACTTACAAGTCACTCATTCACATCCGGGCATTGTGTGCCTGACCAGGTGAGGGCAGCCTCCTGGGAGAATGGGCGCGGGCTGCACTTTGTCCCTCCTGCGGGCCAGGCTTGTCTCCTGGCAGATTCAGTACTTTGCTTTCTGACTAACGGTCCTGTTCTTAACCTGGTTTTCCAGTTGTGCCTCTGTAGGAATGACAGCCACAGGAGCTGGTGCCTGCCCACCATTGTGTCCACGGCTAGCCCAGCTTGCAGATATGTTGGTCCTTCATGTCTGTGGCCCTGTGCCTTCTCCCCAGGCCGTCATGCAAGGCAGCAAGTTAGCCACACAGGCCTGCTCCCTGTGGGCTCCACTGCAGGCCCGAGTCGAGGGAGCCTTTCCCAAGCTGCTTTGTGGGATATCAGGACACAAAATCAAGGTGGTATAGGCTTCTGAGTGAGACTGGATTGGTTGAAATGGTCTAAGTTATTTAGAACCAAGTCTGGTTTAACTAAGTCTTATTACTTAAAACAGTGATCAAGCTCCAGAGAGCTGTTAAAATGCCAGAGAAATAGAAAATTATAATCCCCAAATACTGTGATTCTGCCTTGGTTAAAATTGTAGTTAAAACCACAGTTCCCAGTCACAGTGGTATTTAAAGAAAAACCCAAGAGAGTGAAAAAAAGCTTGATATCTTGAGAGCTTTGGGGAATGCTGTCGTGGGCTGCCAGGGCTGTGCAGTCCTAAGAAAACGCACAGACTAGGAGCTTCAATAGCAGAGATTAATTTTCTCCTAGTTCTGGAGGCTGGAAGTCTAAGATCAAGGTGCTGGCAGGGTTGTTTTCTCCTGAAGCCTCTCTCCTTGTCTTCTGGATGGATGTCTGGCTGTCTCCTGTGTCCTCACGGGGCCTTTACTCTGCATATGCCCAGCCCTGATGTCTCCTCCTCTTCTTAGGGGGACACCAGTCCAACCCTATGACCTCATTAACCTTAATTACCTCCTTAAAGACCCTATCTCCAAATACAGTCATATTGGGAGTTATGGCTTCAAACTAGGATTTTTGAGGGGACACAATTTAGCCTCTAACACCAATCCTTTTTGATAGAAGAAGAAGGTTGGAGACTATTGATTAGTTACTATAAATGTACAAGGGATAAAAAACTTACACTTTAAATATTTTATTTTATAATTTTATCATATTTAACAAACTCTTATATGGTACTTATTATAAGTCAGGCACTATTTTAAGAAATTTACAAATATTGACTCATGGGGTGAAGGACCTATTTAAGGTCAATTTCAATGTTTTTTCTATCTTGTTGATATATGCTACATGGATGGAGAAGTCCCTAGGGATAACGATTATTATTACACCTATGCTCCTGTTCATGACCTGTTACTTGTATCCTTGAGACTCTACATGATTGTTACAGGAAGATGCATTTGTCAGAATGTTTGCTGTAGGATATTGCTTCAGCTCACTCCTGGGTATCAACTGTGTTTGTCTCAGAACATCAAATTTGCTCACCAACTGTATTGTAATTCACCCACCCACAGTCCCCTCGCTGTTCTTGTTATCATTTCTTCTTTCTGGATATAAATGCTTCTTGGGAAAAGTAGTTTCAGGTCTTTCTCCTCAATCCCCTTTTAAGTTGCCATCAATTGGCATTTGTCGATTATTTCTTGTAAAAACACAGCACTCCCTCTCGTTCTTCACTCTCCACACCACTGGAACACAGGAGATGCACACAAAGGCACCTGCTCCCCTCTGAGCTGGTGCCACTAGGCCCTGAGCTTCCTTCTGTCGCCTCTGTCAGGGTCCTGAGCCTGTCTCCATCCTCTCCCATCACCAGGCTCGCTGTCTCCCAAGGCCCAGCCCCTGCCCCACCACACTCCCTCACCCTGGGCCAGGGCCAGGCCTCCTTCACTGCCTCTCCTGCTTATTCCTGCCTGGAGTCAGTGCTCCTCTGACCCCGTGCCTTTTCTTCTCCCTTCTCTGTCTTGACCCTACTTGTCTTCTCTGTCACCTTGATTTGCAGCCTGTGGACACGGACCAGTACCTCCCAGTGCACTCCGGCCCACAGCCACAAGTCCTAAGGGTGCCCGTGGCAGGGAGGACTTTGGAACAGACTTCTGTCAAGGAAGTGGAGTGGAAAAACTAAGAAGAAAAGGGAGAAAAAGAAACGATATAAAGTGAAAGAAGTCCTTGCTCATATTTTAGAATTGGATGATGGTAACTGAAGTGCTATGTAGCTTAGATTCTGTGGAATAAATGTAAAAGCATGATGTGCCTTTTTTATTTTAAAATGACAACTTTTAGGATACAACTATTTAGATACCTTGAGATGAAAGAAAGGACATGTATTTTTAAATGTTCAGGAGAGCACACGGATTTTCAAGACAAATGGGGCCAAGAAAGAATACCACTGGAGACAGGCGTGCAGCCGGGGGTGCATGTGAGCAGGGCCTGGTCTGCAGCGATGGCCCCACCTCCGGGAGATGGTGGCAATGGCAGCTCAGGGTGGCACCTTGCCTGGATCACCAACTCCTCAGAGTAATAAGAAAGGCTACCTTTGTGGGTGGCCTACAGTCCTAAGAGCTCTCTAAGTCTGTCCAGTGACTCTCTGAGCCAAGTGGTATGTTAATTATTTTAAAATGAGAGCTGGGCTCTGTTTCTTCCCAAGTCACCATCCAGTTAAGATATGACGAGTATGTCTGTGGCAGCAGCCCAGCCTGCCTGACTGTGAATGCCACCAGCCAGCAAGCACACGAGCCACCCACCAACTGTGAACAGCTATCATGGGCTGAAGTGTGTCCCCCCTAAATTCATATCTTGAAGCCCTAAGCCCCAGTACCTCAGTATGGAACTGTGTTTGGAGATTGGGCCTTTACAGGGGTGATTAAGGTAGAGTGAGGCTGTCAAAGTGATATCTGGGCACTCAGAGTGACACAGGAGTCCATGCACAGAGGAAAGGCCCTGCGGGCACACAGAGTGAGAGCTGCTGCCTGCAAGCCATGGGAGGAGACCTCAGGAGAAGCGGCCCCACTGGCCTTGATCTTGGACCTTCAGCTTCCAAAGCTGCCAGCAAATCCATATCTGTTTAAGCCCCCCAGCCCGTGGTACTTTGTGAAACCACACTGCTCTGGATTGCATCCTGAGGACAAGCCCTTGCGTCTGCCTCTCCAGGATGTCTACAAAATTGGTGGTATTGGTACTGTCCCTGTGGGCCGAGTGGGGACTGGTGTTCTCAAACCCTGCATGGTGGTCACTTTTGCTCCAGTCAATGTTACAATGAAAGTAAAATCCGTTGAAATGCACCACGAAGCTTTGAGCGAAGCTCTTCCAGGGGGCAATGTGGGTTTCAACATCAAGAATGTGTCTGTCAAAGATGTTCGTCGTGGCAATGTTGCTGGTGACAGCAAAAATGACCCACCAATGGAAGCAACAGGCTTCACTGCTCAGGTGATTATCCTGAACCATCCAGGCCAAATCAGTGCTGGCTACGCTCCTGTACTGGACTGTCACATTGCTCACATTGCCTGCAAGTTTGCTGAAGGAAAAGATTGATCGCCGCTCTGGAAAGAAGCTGGAAGATAGTCCTAAATTCTTGAAGTCTGGTGATGCTGCCATCGTCAATATGGTTCCTGGCAAGTCCATGTGTGTCGAGAGCTTCTCAGACTATCCTCCTCTGGGTCGTTTTGCTGTTCGTGATATGAGACAGACAGTTGCTGTGGGTGTCACCAAAGCAGTGGACAAGAAGGCTGCTGGAGCTGGCAAGCTCACCAAATCTTCCCAGAAAGCTCAGAAGGATAAATGAATATTATCCCTATACTTGCCACCCCACTCTTAATCAGTGGTGGAAGAGCAGTCTCAGAACTGTTTATTTCAATTGGCCACTTAAATTTAATAGTAAAAGATTTGTCGTTAATAACAATGCATCGTAAAACCTTCCAAGGAAAGGAAAATGTTTTGTGGACTACTTTTGTTTATTTTTATGTGGTAGTTTTAAGTTATTAGTTTCTAAAATCAGTATTTTTAATGAAAATAACTTGACCAAAAATCTGTCACAGAATTTTGAGACACATTAAAACAAAGTTTAATGAGAAAAAATAAAATCCATTAGGATTTTCACAGGGATTGCATTTAATAGCTTTAGGTAGCATTGCCACTTAACAATATTAAGTCTTCCAATCTGGGAACATGAGATGTCTTCCCACTTATTTATGTCTTTTACTTTTTATTTTATTTTAATTAATTAATTTTTTCATCATATTATGGGGGTACAAATGTTAAGGTTACATATATTACCCTTGCCCCCACTCCCCCCTCCAGTCAGAGCTTCAAGTATGTCCATCCCCCAGTTGGTGAGCATTGCACTCATTATGTACGTATGTATACACCCATCCCCTCCCCCGCACCTGCCCAACACCCAATAGATGTTACTCCTATATGTCCACTTAGGTGTTGATCAGTTAATATCAATTTGCTGGTGAGTACATGTGGTGCTCATTTTTCCATTCTTGGGATACTTCACTTTATAGAATAGGTTCTAGCTCTAGGCAGGAAAATACAAGAGGTGCTATATCACCATTGTTTCTTATAGCTGAGTACTACTCCATGGTATACATATACCACATTTTATTAATCCACTCATGTATTGATGGGAACTTTGGTGGTTTCCACATCTTTGCAATTGTGAATTCTGCTGCTATAAACATTCGAGTGCAGGTATCCTTTTAATAGAGTGACTTTTGTTCTTTTCGGAAGATGCCCAGTAATGGGATTGCTGGATCAAACGGTAGATCCACTTGTAGCCCTTTAAGGTATCTCCATATTGCTCTCCACAGAGGTTGAACTAGTTTGCAGTCCCACCAGCAGTGTAGGAGTGTTCCTATCTCTCCAAATCCATGCCAACATTGATTGTTTTTGGACTTGTTAATAAAGGCCATTCTCACTGGAGATAAGTGATATCTCACTGTGATTTTGATTAGCATTTCCCTGATGATTAGAGATGTTGAACATTTTTTATATGTTTGTTGGTCATTCTTCTGTCTTCTTTAGAAAAGTTTCTGTTCAAGTCCTTTGCCCACTTTTTAATAGGGTTATTTATGGCTTGTATCATTTTTAGTATGTTCCTTTTATGCCTATTTTATTAAGTGTTCGTATCATGAAAGGGTGTTGAATTTTGTCAAAAGTTTTTTCTGCATCTATTGAAAGAATCATGTGGTGTTTGTTTGCTTCTGTTTATGTGGTGAATTGCATTTATAGATTTACGTATGTTGAACCATCCCTGCATCCCTGGGATGAAAGCCCACTTGTCGTGGTGGATTATTTTTTTTGATAACGTCTGGATTCGGTTAGCTAAGATTTGTGAAATTTTTGCATCTATATTCATTAGGATATTGGTCTGTAGTTTCTTTTTTGTTCCATCCTTTCCTGGTTTTGGTATCACAGTAATATTCGCTTCATAAAAGGTGTCGGGGAGGTTTCCGTTCTTCTCGATGTTGTGGAATAGTTTCTGCAGGATAGGTACTAGTTCTTCCTTGTATGTGTCGTAAAATCGGATGTGAAACCATCTTGACCGGGACTTTTCTTTTTAGGGAGATTTTTAATTGCTGTTTCTATTTCAGCTCTTGAGATTGGTCTGTTCAGGGAGTCTATTTCTTCCTGGTTGAGCCTAGGGAGGCTGTGTGTTTCTGGAAATTTGCCCATTTCCTCCACATTTTCCAGTTTGTGTGAATAAAGATTTTTGTAGTACTCATAAATTATATCTTGTATCTCTTTGGGATCAGTTGTGATATCTCCTTTTTGTGCCTGATGGAGCTTATTAGAGATTTCTCTTTCTGCTTTTCGTTAGCTAGTCAATGGTGTGTGTATTTGTTTATTTTTCAAAGAACCAACTTTTTGTTTTGTTAATCTCCTGAATAGCTTCCCTGTTTTCAATTTTGTTTAGGTCTGATTTGATCTTGTTGATTTCTCTTCTTCTCTTGGGTTTGGGGTTGGTCTGTTCTTCTTTTTCCAGCTCTTTGAGTCATTTTGTTAGATTGTCTATTTGTGATCTTTTTGACTTTTGGTTATAGGCATTTATGGAGATAAACTTTCCTCTCAGAACTGCTTTAGCTGTGTCCCAGAGGATTTGATAAGTTGTCTCTCCATTCTCATTTTGTTCATAGAATTTTTTAATTTCTATCTTGATTTCTTCATTTATGAAGTAATCATTTAGTAGGAGGTTGTTTAATTTCCACGTTTTGTGTAGAAATGTGAGTTTCTGTTAGGGTTGATTTCTACTTTTATTCCACTGTGATCTGAGAAGATACATGGTATGATTCTATTTTAAATTTCTTGAGATTTACTTTGTTTCCTAGGTTAATAGGGAATTGTAGCTGTCTATGAGAAGAATATATCAGTGATTTGGTGGTAGAATGTCCTGTAATATCATCAGTATCCAATTGTTCTAGATTTTGTTAAGTCGATTATTTCTTTATTAATTTTCTGTTTGGAGGATCTGTGTCGTGCCGTCAGTAGGGTGTTGAAATCTCCAGTGACTAGTTGCTATTAATTCATTTGCTTAGATCCAGTAAGGTTTGTTTTATGAAACTGGGTGCACCTAAGGTGGGTGCATATATATTTAAAATTGTTATCTCTTCTTGTTGAAGTGTGCCCTTCACCATTATATAATGACCTTCTTTGTCTTTCACTACTTTTGTTGGCTTAAAAACTAAATCGTCTGAAATTAGAAGTGCCACGCCAGCCTTCTTTTGGCTTCCACTTGCCTGGAATACTGATCTCCACCCTTTTACTTTTAGTCTATATGCATCCTTGCAGTTTAGATGTGTTTCCAGAAGACAGCATATACTTGGCCTGTATTTTGTTATCCATTCAGCCAGCCTATGTCTCTTGAGTGGAGAGTTTAAGCCATTCACATTTATGAGAGAACTGATATAGGTAGTTACTGTTCTTCGTTTGTTGGAGTTGTTGCTTTGATTTCTCTCTTGAGACTTGTAATATTGGCCTTTAATCTTTGTTTGGTGTGTTTTAGTATTCGTGAGCTTTTATTATGGTGTTCCATGTGTAACACTGCTTTGAGTACTTCTTGAAGGGCTCGTCTTGTCTTGGTGAATTCTCTGAGACTTTGCTTGTCTGAGAATGTGTTTCTCCTTCAATTATGAAGCTTAGTTTTGCAGGGAATAAGATTCTAGGCTGGGCATTGTTTTATTCAGAAGAGTGAGAATGGGCCCAGTCTCTCCTTGCTTGTAAATCTCATTAGAGAAGTTTGGTGTTATTCGAATTTGCTTTCCCTTGTAGGTCACTTGCTTCTTTC